TATTGCAACGAATTTTAGAATAATTTTTTCTTTAAATATTTAAAAAAAATTATTGAAAAATCATATTATTTTAATAAATTTTTATTAAAAAAATTAAAATATTTTATTTTTTAAACATGAATTAAAATGTTTATTTATTATTTTTATAATGTTTTATTGCAACGAATTTTAGAATAATTTTTTCTTTAATTTTTAAGAATTAACAGATAAATACTAACTTTTATTCAATATTATGAATTTTAAATAAATAAAATATTTGAATAATATATAAAATTATATTAAAAATTGATTAAAAAAATTGTTTATGAATTATACTTTCTAATTAATGTCTGATTTGGTCTTTGGGCCCAACCTTTTGTTAACAATTGTTTTTTGGGCCAACACCTTTTTCTTGACATTAAACCTTGAGAAAAACGCGTAATTTGAATAATTCACCGGCGACGAACAAGAAATGAAAGGAAAAGAATATTCTACGTGCGGCGGGGCCCACGTGCATCGGCTTTCCAACTACCGGCGGGTGACCGCGAATTCCTGTTGGATCCGCCTATTGGTTTCCTGAATTCTGACGAACGGATAATGCAGATGATCCCTCTTTCCTATTTAATCCTTCCCGCTTAAATTCTTACTTCTGTCCGATCTCCGGGTTTTACCTTGTTTTTCCATCTGATTTTTAGAAAAATCCGGCGAGGCAATGGCGTCCTCAACCCGGTGGTCTACCGCGTTCATGAGCGGAGAGAGAGCCGTGGTTTTGCTCTTCATCTCTCGCGTCCTCTGTTCCCTCCCTCTGTCTCTCCTCCCCCACGGCCTTTCGCTCTCCCTTCTCTCCCTCTTTGCTCTTTTCATTGAGATCCGTGCCGACAATTCGCCTCTCCTCTCCCCTTTCAAGACCAGGTAAGACTACATGCATATATGAGCTGTTCCTGTTTGATTTTGGATCAATTTGATGAATTAGGGTTTATATGTCATGAAAATTGGGAGCTTGTTTATGGGTTTTAGAGCTTGTGATGCATTGAATTGCATATCTCTTAGTTTATTGTTATTGTTTTATGGCTTGTAGGCCTGGTGCTTCTTCAGGAATAATGTTAGGAGCTGTTACGCTGCCAACGGTTATGCTCTCCAAGTTGATACAGCTTTCTAGAGCATTTTCCTTGCAACAAATTGATATTGAAGGTACAAGTGATGGATTCCTCCTTACTAAATAAATATGCCTGGGATGCGTTTTATTAGCATACATGTAAAGAATACAGATATAACTAGGTCAAGAAATTGTTTTTGGAAATGGTAGTTGTCAACTCTGTGTTCCACCATATGCAATGTGTGGAGTTTGGTCTTTGTTCTAAATGTTGGAAGCTTTCTTAACATCACTTGCATTTACTCCATAACATCATTACTGCTGCAAGAGAAAGAAATAAAATGGTAAAACAAATCTAGAAACTCAGAAAAACAGGATCTTTCATCATATGTGTAGGGGTCAACCAAATTCTTGTTGAGTTTGAGTTTTCAGTTTCTTGAATGTTTTCTTGGTGATTTCAACCTCCCTACTTCTTTTGTTACCGAGCTAATCATGACATAATTCTTTATGTTTCATGTTGTGTTTCAATTTTGTTTATAGAGCTTGAGCATATGACAATGCAATATTGGGCCACATCAGCCAGTTGTTGTGCTGTGCTTGTGTTCCTCTGCCTAGTTATGTGGTTCCCACGCAACAATGCACATCCCCCTTGTTTCTATAGTGCCTGGGATGCAAAGTTTAGCATAATTTGCATGGTTTTATATGGAGCAATATGCTGTGTATCCCTTGCTACAATATCTCAAACCAGTAAGTTTGGTCATTCATTAAATTAGGAAGATGAAAAGTTTATCAAAAGGATCATTCAAAAAAGGAGCTGTTTTGGTGCTGTTTATACTTTATAGAGCTAAAACATGTGCATCTTTTATAGGCTTAAACACAGCATTGAAGTCCTTGTGGTTGCTATGCCATGGATTTGCAGCAGTGAAATTAATTCAGCATCTTCTTAATACCTTTCCGTCTTGTGCTTCAATGGGTTTGTTTCATTCTTCTTGTTCCATGTCACCTTGTTTCACTTGCATATTTTAAATGAACAGAGAGAAAACTTCCTATAAAATGTCCTGATTTTGCAGGGGAAGCCCTTTTGGCAACTTCAGGCCTTGTTCTTTATTTTGGTGACATGTTGGCATGTACCATTGCAAAGGTTAGTGCTCTCTCCTTGCATGGACAGCGTTTTGTGACTAGAAAATTCAGCATAATAGAGATATTAAAGTTGGTGACATTGTTTGGGCAGTTCTTTGGGCTCTTGATCTCAACGGACTTTGTTTCCATACAATATGGAATCAAAAGAAGCGAAATAAGTATTTTTATTCAGGTATCAATCTTTGAAAAATGAAGTTGATTGTGAATGGTGTATTTGGATAGTAAAGGTTGTTCTCTTCTTTTAGGGTCTGCTACTTGGCCTTCTTATGCTTCCTGTAGTCTTTAAAGCCATTCTTCGCATCTGGGAATACTCCTTTGGAACTGGTCGCTCTGAAGCAAGAAAGCATAGAGAGATTGGGAAATCTGTTATATTCTTTGCTTCCCTTGGATTTATCATGACGGTGGTTGCCCCATCATGGATGAAATTTGTTCAAGATTTTAATGTTCATCCCTTGTTATGGTAAAATATTTCCAAAATCTATGCAAATTTGCCTTTTAATTTACTTTATTCTGAGAATTGAACCATGTGGAGATAATAAAATCTTATTAAGTGATTATAGTTGGCTTTACATTTAACTGTTAGGGTATCAGTGTACTATACTGTTGTTGTCTGCTATCAGAATATATCATAGTATTAGCTGGTAAACCTATGCTTTCTATGGTATTTGATAATGAAGCTTATGTTGCTTCCCTAGTGATATCATCAGAATTCCTAGCATATGATGATAGGCTGTTAGCACTTGACTTCAAAGTTTCCAATTGTAGATAAACTGATAAACAGTAGCTTCCTTAAATATTTTTGTTTTTTTCTTTACCTTCCTAGAATATCTCATGTTTACAAGATACATTTTTTTTACAGGGTCTTTAAATTTGTTCTATCAGAACCATTTAAAAGGCTCTCATTGTGTATCTATTGGGTGGCCGTGATATGTGCTTCTGTTGTGAGGTTCTACAGCATTTCTAAGAATAGTAAAATTGAGCGGATTCTTCTTCGAAAATACTACCATCTGATGGCTGTTTCAATCTTTTTGCCTGCTCTTATTTACCAGGTCATTTGAGAAAAATGAATTCTTCTTTATCAAGTAGTTAACAATGTTATTGCTCATCTATTCGAGTGGTGATTTATTTAGATAAACTGTTGACTTTGTGATTGTTTCCAGCCAGAATTTCTTGATCTTGCATTTGGTGCGGCTCTGGCAGTTTTCTTGGTCTTAGAAATTATTCGAGTAAGTTCATCATTCTTGCAATAGATATATTTTATTTGCATATTCATCCTAGTTTCAATACTTACAAGGTATGAAATAAGTTGTCTAGTGTGCTTTATAACTTTTTTATTGATCTTTTAGCTCCTTGGTTGGCCTTACATAACCATTTCCTTTGTAGCCAGGTATGGAGAATTTGGCCTTTGGGACAACTTGTAGATCAATTTATGAATGCTTTCACTGACCATCGTGACTCAGATCTTCTTATTGTTAGGTATGGCATTTCACCTAGTCTTGAAATCTGGAATGCATGCATATTTTGGATACAAAGAAATGTTGATAACTTCCTTCTTGATCTGTCTAGTCACTTTTCACTCTTATTGGGTTGTGCACTTCCTATCTGGATGTCTTCTGGATTCAATGATCGACCCCTTGTCCCTTTTGCTGGAATTCTTAGCCTTGGAATTGGGGATACAATGGTAAGTTCACTTTATTTTCTAAGTTGGGCCTTAAATTCTGTTATTTTAGTTTTTTCCATTTCCTTAAGTTTGGATTTCTTGTTATTGATCACATTATGTGACTAGCTCTGACAATTGACTGGGAAGTCTAGTCTTCTAAGGGCATTATCAATGAATAATTCAATGGTCAGGAATTAGATGGACATGCACATGCACTTCGTTTCCAATTTCACATTGATATTGAGATCTTAATTTCTCAAAATTTTATTTCTTTCCTACACATAAATGAGCCAGCATTGTAACTTCTTGATGGCATGCTACTCTTTGAGTTGTATTGATGTTTGTCTACTTGCATAAATGCCTTCACTGAACTTTTGGCCTATGTTCAATTTGCCCACCCCTCCAAGCAATTAGTATTGAACTATCATAACACCTATGGTTTGTTTTATATCCAGGCATCAATGGTTGGCCACAAGTATGGTGTCCTCAGATGGAGCAAAACTGGCAGTAAGGATTTCTATTTCTAAACTCTGATCTAATTTCTTTCTTAGCCATCCACCTCCTTACTGGTGCAATATTTTCTTCTTGGCAGAGAAAACAATTGAAGGTACTGCAGCTGGTATAACATCTGTCCTGGCTGCCTGCTCTGTTTTGCTTCCTCTTTTAGCATCCAGTGGATATATTTTCACCCAGGTGACTCCTCTTTCACTGTCGATCATATACACATAAACATGTCAATTAAGCAAGTAATGAGCTAGTTCACTGGTTCATTGGAATCAGCTAAATTAGTTTATGTCTCTTCTAGATTATAACTGCTACCAGTAGAGGTCTTATGCCTATCCATGCCTCTGTCTTCTTATTGGGGTTACTAATTGTTGGACTTGTTTTGCTTCCAATTTCCACAGCACTGGTTCTCTCTCCTCATAGCTGTAACTACAACTGGTTTGTTGGAGGCCTACACAGCACAACTTGACAATGCATTTATACCACTTGTCTTCTACAGTCTTCTCTGTTTATAGACGCACACTTAGATATATCATGGCGAGGTATACATCTCTTAGTCATAAATTTTAACAGAAAAAGTTCCTTCTTATATTGTGCTTTCTTCTTTTCCTTGTGGATATAGCCGATCAGTTAGAGAACACTAACAGAATGTTGTAAACTACCATTCCTCTTTGACAGAAAATCTAGAATTAGGTGTAGGATCAGCTTTTATCTTCGTAAATTTTTCCTCTTTATAATGTACATGGAAAGGGAATTTGATAGTCATAGCATAGCGGCAATCAACGTTGAAAATTTGAGGGTAAGAAAATAGTGTGATGTTTTTTTTATTTATGATGTATCTCTTCTAGTTTCAGTGTGAAAATGTGCTGGCCTGTGTGACCATTTTGCACCTGAAACAATGGCTGTCTTCCACCGTGGCCATACATTGCTTAGTGGAAACAGCAACGTGTAACCACATCACGATGCATGTAACTTTTCTCATACTCGTATATTATACTAAAGTCAAAGACTCTTTTAAAGATGCAATGACACAACCCAAGCCAAAGCGATTTGAAATTGGGGAAAAAGAAACCCTAAAAAGTACAGGGGTAGTGACATTTTTATCCCTATATACTTTTTATTATTCGAATTTTTTTATACATGTGGAGACAACTAAATTATCTAATCTAGATATTAACTTTCAACGCTAAACATAAAAATTAAGGGATATAGCAAACTCAGTAGATAGCTTATACATTCTTCTTTCTGCTTCACTTGTTTCCTAACTATTCAAGTGTTTAATATTTGGTTTCAAATCAGACTATATAATAAAAATGTAAGTTGATATTAAAATTATTAAAATGTCATCAATAAAATAATATAAGAAAGTATTTTACTAAAAGTATTTTAGTTTATTTATATGTCAAAACTTGAAATACACTTGTTTAAAAAAACTAAAAAAATATCAATTTTAAATGAGCTTTTTACTTCACAGTCTAATGTGAATTATAAAATTACAAAATAAGAACTATTAGATAGATAAAAAAAAGGTTTTTAATATCAAAGATTTGCCTTATATTTTAATGATTTGAATTGTGTAATATAATACAATCTAAATTATACAATAAAAAACAAAAACAAAAAAAGAAAAACAAAACAAAACCCTTATCGTTTGATTGTTAGCAACTGCGACATTATTATAACATGAAATGTAAATGAGAAGGCAAAACCAGCTGAAAGAGTACAAAATGCAAATTATTTGAACGCTGATATGAATACAAATAAATCAGATTGCAACCAACAAAATATAGACGCTCCAAAGTTGTAACGTTGAAATCAACTCCGACCATTTCTTTCTTTCTGGCTCATTTCCAAATAGTATATCTGTATCATAATAATGCAACTCTGCTGAGCCGCATTTTGACTCTTTCCTGTAAAACAAGTAACAGGAAGATATTAGTGAATGTGAATTCATTCTGCAAACGAACGGTGACCTTTTACAATCTCAAAACATACATGTAACAATATTCTTTAAAAATGCAAATTAAATGAATAGAGATATATACAAGAAGTTGAATTTCTTATTTCCTTTTATTATTTTGCTCCAACAGAACTGAACATGCATTGAAAATGAAAAGGATAGCTAGTTACAGGACTACAAGGAGACTCATTAATCTGTCAAAGAAAGCTCCTTTCTGATTCTTCAATTGCTCTGTACCATGGCTTCCCGGGAACCGAAATTGAGAGTAACATTACTAGAGACCCCCGATTCAGCTAATATGGTTTCAAGCTCACTTGGGTCGCATGGGATGGTTAAGGCTCCATCATGGTTGAATCCAAACTCCTCAGCTGCTTTCTCCAACAGCTTCAAAAACCTTGGATGAGTCAAACAACTCAGTGGAACTACAAATCTCCTTGGTTCCTCACCGTTCTCCGCAATAACTGCAAAATGCCCTTCCTTTACATCTTCAGGCACGCAGGTCGAGTCAGTAGTCCATCTTCTTCCCAAAAAAAGACCCTTTTGTAGCTTCTTCAGCTTCACAATTTCGTTCTTTTTCTTGCTGAAACTCATCCCAAGCTTAGCCATGGCTATGGTTGCTTGGTTTAGTCTCTTCGATGGGCTGAACATTTACTGCTTGTTACTCGTATATAATGCAATTCTGAACAGAGCAAGTAGAAACAGAGGCAATTCGGAATCCAGCAGGAGACCAGTGCATGTGTGTAAACGATTCTCCAGCGTTTTTATTGCGATGAAACGTCCATTTTCGTTAGTCACATCTGCCTTCAGAATATGGGGACGGTCTTGCTCGTCGCACAGCGTTTTCCTAATACTTTTTCCTCACATTTTTTAGTGTTTTTGGTACTACCCTCCAATATCCAGAAATTATATTGAATTTCAATTAATCTAAAGTCAATTTGCATTGGAATCTATAAATAGAAAACTCTTCAAATATTTGTTTTCTCATTCATAAAAGTTGAACTTAAAATAAAAAATAAAAAATCAATCTCTTTTTATTCGAATAATCAAATCCTTGGTAATTCTTTTCTTAATATTTTTTTCTTGTCTAAGTTTAATAATTTTCCTTCGATGATTAATTTGTTCAATCGTGCTACTCTGCGTCCTTGGTAAAGTTTAGAAAGGCATCGAGAATGAGGAATCTCCCATACATTCATAGGATGAAATTCTCTCCACTGTACTTCACATTCTGTGATGCAGAGATGAAACCTTTTGAGTTTTACACACACACCACCCCCCCCAACACCAAAAAAAAAAAAAAAAGGGAAGAAGGGAAGCCTTTTGAGTAACGGGCATTCTATCACCCCAGCTACTGAAGTGAAAAAGCTAAAAACTACCTTTCAGGTGGACCTCCTTTCCAATATGATATTCAAAAAGCAATATGATTGATCAATTCAGAAGGCGACGTTTTTGTTGTATGTTTGTCTAGTACATTTGATGTTTGTGGTTCAGATTTCTAACATTCTGCAACCGCCTGTTTTACTCTTTTACACTAAAAAAACGACAGATTCAATTCGACAATTCCTTTCCATGACTAGAAAGTAAGTTATCACGTAAAATTAACTAATTCAGAACACTTCTCTTGGGAGACTGAAAGTAGACAAGACTCAAGAGACAGCATCTCTCATTCTGAAGAGAAATACTAGAAAGCTATATAAATAATGAACTGATTATGGAATTAAGATGTTAACATAATATCAAGTACAAAATATGATGAGTACATAAAGACAAGAACAAGTAACTCCACAGTAGCTAATAATATTCTGCTAAATCCCCTTAATAGACTGACGAGTAGAATCGACAGAAACAAAATATCCGCTAAAAACCTGGCAAAGGATGTCAAACCTGATGGCTTGAAGCAATAATAAAGCCATCGTGTCCTCTGTCTTATCACTTTCGTCATAATCCACCTGGGAAATTACACATCCAGTAGAGGTAATCCCCTGATGTTGATGGCAATACAATCATATGATCAGACTACATATATAAATATATCGATGAAATAAAGCTTCATAACCAATGGGATTGACTGCTTCAGTCAGATAAACCGGCTTTCCTCTTGAGATGCTCTTTGAAGTCCATAATATCACCCTCCCAACGGGTGACCGTTTGATTTTCACACACCCAAATCTCCTCAGCTACCTGGTTTATGAGCCTGAAATCATGGCTAACAAGAACCAGCCCCCCATCCCATTCATTCAATGCCTCAGCCAGTGAGTCAATTGTCTCAATATCCAAGTGGTTTGTTGGTTCATCCAAGAGCAGCAAATGGGGTTGCCTATATGCTAACCAAGCAAAAATGACTCGGCTCCTCTGCCCATCTGAAAGATTCTTCATTGGCATCACCTGTGCTTTGCCTGACAAGCCAAACTTCCCAATTGCAGCTCTCATTTTCTCCTCCTCATTCCCTGGATACTCTTTAATCATGTACTGGAGAGCAGACAATTCAAGGTCAAGTTTCTCAGCCAGGTGCTGATGAAACTGTGCAATTCGAAGATGATTATGTCGCCGTACCATGCCATCAAGAGGAACCAAGTCCCCTGTCATCAGCTTCAGCAGGGTACTCTTCCCAGCACCATTGGGTCCAACCAGAGCTATCCTGGAGTCCAAGTCCACCCCAAAATCAAGGTTCTTGTAAATGAGATTATCAGGTGTGTACCCGAATGTAACTTCCACAAACTGCAGCACCGGTGGAGGAAGTTTTCCCACATCAACAAAACAGAACACTAAGACCTTATCTTTTACCACTTTTTCTGTAAGGCCACCTCGCTCCATCTTTGCAAGTGTTTTTTCCTTGCTCTGGGCCTGGCGGGCTAGTTTTGCTGACCCATGACCAAAGCGAGCAATGTACTCCTTCATGGAAGCAATCTGCTCCTGCTCCCACTTGTACTGTTTCATCTGGTTCTCTTCCAGTTCAGCACGGGTCTGAACATACTGATCATAGTTTCCAGTGTAGAGCTTTAATTTTTTGTTTTGCATGTGGATAATGTTTGTGCACACTCCATTTAGGAAGTCCTGGGAATGTGATACCACAACAAGGATGCGATCAAATTTCTTTAAGTTCTCTTCCAACCAGACACATGCTTCCAAATCTGTTACAAACGGAGACATTCATATGCTAATTTTAAGTCAATTAACAGAATAAGAGTTACTCCTATCAGGCAGCTATAGTATAGTATCACCCCATGAGCAATCCTAGTACTCAAAAACAAGCATAATATAAATGTGAAATAAAACTCACAGATTTTCCATGATAATCGAATGTTATGTTACTGTACCATCTTAGGTTGATAAACACTAACCTAAATGATTTGTGGGTTCATCAAGAAGCAGGATGGTGGGATTCATAAATAACGCCCGAGCTAATGCTATCCTCATTCTCCAGCCACCGGAGAAGTCCCGGGTTTTCTTAGCCTGCATCTTCTTGTTGAAACCAAGACCATACAAAATTTCAGCTGCACGTTTCTCTGCAGTTGATGCATCAATAGCTTCCAATCTCTCATAGATTCGTTCAAGTGGTTCTCCACCACCATCATCCTAAAGCAACAATTAAAAAAGGAAAAGAATAGATGAGTTGCAACATTATTCTTGAGAAGAACTTTAAAAGGTCACAAAGCAGAGGGCTTTTTAGCTGCACTAACCTGTCCAGCCAATGCTTCAGCTTCTTTCTCCAACTTCAACCTCTCCTCATCACAACTTATGACAGCCTCCAATGCAGACATGTCAGAAGCTTCAATCTCCCTAGTGAGATGATAGATATCCATGTGCTCAGGAATTGGGAGCTCACGCAATCCTATTGCGGTAAGCAGGGTTGATTTACCACAACCATTCAATCCAAGCAAGCCATAACGCCTACAAGATAAAATGAACCAAAGAGTTGCCATCAACCAAGCCACTATGAGTTGGCCAAAATAAATAACTACTGTGAAAATCATGAATGTTAGGACTTTCAGGTAGAGAAACGAACCTTCCGTAATTAAGCTCCAGCACAGAATCAACGATGAGGTCATGCCCATGGAATGTAACTGACAGGGACTCTAACTGCAAAAGCAACGAAATGGTATTTCAGTATTAACTAGGGCTTCTGTGTATGCCAGGGCAGAATATTCCCGTTCTAAGTATGCAAGTATGAAACTTGTGTACTTTCCAAGGTTAAGCAACATTACAATTAACTGGGTCAAACTGGAAATCTTTCTAAAAAATAAAAATAATAATAAAAGAA